TTAAACTCCTAAAACTGAAAATGCTGCTGGTCCGTAAGCAGTCAGAAGAATTATTTGTTGCTTTTTATCTGCCCCAATGTTATTTGTCCAGAAAAAATATTGCATTCTTTCCACATACTGGGCCCAGTCTTTGACAGCAGGATCAAATGAGCCAAGCTTCCCAAATAAAGATATGATGCCAGAAATGCTTACCCCAACTCTAAGATGACTGTAGCAAGCGAATATTCTCCAGGCACATCTTGTTTTCTTTCATCGCCACTGAAATAACTGCAGAGAGGCTGGTATCCCATCACCAGATCACCCTTAATTACTTGTTCACTGTACACTGGTTGTGGCCAGCCAGCTCAAAGTCAGTCCTCTGAACTGAGGAGGTTCTAAATTTCCTGGTTATACTCTTTATTCAAACTTCACATAAAGTATAGTGTCACAGGCACAACACAACATTAGTCACAATACATCAAAAACAAGTCACCAAGAACAAAAACGTTAACACAGAACACCCTACATAAAGTCATCCCAATCCAAACAGTAGATTCAATTCCACATAACATGTGTCCCAAACATGACACATGGCAAGGTCACTGTACATCAGGCAATTTGCCAAAGAGCAGACATTGGCAGAAAATACTGTATAGAAATACAGTTCAATTCAAACAGTAGTACAAAATCTTACAAACAATGAACACATAGCATCAGTCACAACGCATCAAAAACAAATCACTTTACCAGAGAACATAGTACAAAAAAAAGTCTCAGTTCAAACTGTAGATTCGAGTCCACATAAGATGAATGTCCCAAAGTCTCTGTACATCAGGTAATTCACCAAAGAGTAGAGACATTGACATGAAATATCATGCAGAAACACAGTTTAGTTCAAGTGGTAGTACAGACAAACACACAGTCCCCACAGCTGTTGGTCAGCCTCCTACACGCTATGGGGATACATGAGGACATAATACATGCATAGAAACATAGTCCAGATACGAGAACACAGTACACGTTCAAAAGCACCGTCCAACACATGCTGAGGCATGGTCTACCCACGAAGGGCCAGTATACCCATGAAGGCACTATGCAATCATGAAGGCATGGTATATCCATGAGAGCCTGGTCCACACACAAAAGTTCAGTCTAGGACCCATACACTAAAGCAATGGCACAAAGGCCAGGTCCTGTTACCAAATCATGCCCTCACTTTACCAATATAACACTATCACTGGCTGTAACCAGCCAGCTCAGAAATCAATTCTCAAAAACAACAGTACTACTGGCTGTGGCCAGCCAGCTCAGAGTCAGTCCTCTGAACTGAGGAAGCTCTAAATCTCCTGGTTATTTTTTTTTTCTCACCAGTAGGAAAAACACTCATGTGACCAAAGAACCAGTAGCAAGCAGAGCCCCTCAATGCCAATGAATGAAAAGGTGAAGGGGAGGGTAGGGGTAAATCAAAATGGAATTGGAGGGAGAAATAAAGCACTCCACACACTGCAGTGCCCACCTCTCCTGAAAGACATCAAGAGTATTGGTCGAAATCTCCTGGTTACATTTTCTGGCTGTGGCCAGCCAGTTCAGAGTCAGTCACCTGAACTGAGGAGATTCTAAATCTCCTGTTTATATTTTTTTTCTATTTTTTTTTTCATTTTAGCAGCAGTGCTTATTTTCCCAGTACCCTTGTTGTTCACGTGCAGGTGCAGGTGCAGGTGCAGGTGTGAGACAGTAAAAACACCAGGTGTGCAAATAACTTTATTAACCACCAGGAAAGACATCCATGTGACTAAAGAACCAGTAACAAGCAGAGCCTCTGGGGGCAATACCTAATCTCATGGTTGTATTGGTCAGCCAGGGCTTTCCTGATTGGCCTAGATCAACAACCCCAATCAAGGATCTTGTAGTCAACAAGATCCAGCTGGTTCCAAACACTACACTGAGCTACTGAAAATATTTTTAAATTTAATAATTTATAAGCTTGGATGCACCCTCTCTTTCCATCTTTTCTGAACTGCAAGCTACTGTTCCTTGAGTGTTGGCTCCTTTGGATGATTATGACAGTGCTGCAAAAGTAAATTTTTCTTCCAAGAAGACAGTTCCTTTTTGAAATGCACTGTCCCTTAATGGACAGCATGAGCACTGCTCCTTTCATGTTTCTAATCACCTTCCAGGTTTAAGGCCCATCACCATGTTATATTCCTGACTGTACGTTGGCAAAGGAAATGAGCAGATCCAGTCTTTACGTAGAATAAATTTGTTCACTGAGTATGTATCTATTGACTCCACTCTGCTCATGTGTTAGTGTCTCTTGTTATGTATGTATGGTAGAACGGTCTGAAACAGTGAATGCAACAACTCTTTTTACATTGTGGAACCACATTAACCTAACCTGATTAACTAATAAACTGACCTTTAAATGGGTACTGTAACGAAAAAAATTAAATCAAAATTCTATTTTGGGGGTAGATAATGCACTCTAGGTCCTGCAAAGTCCAACAGTTGTGGAACACATCAAGCATACTTGTGGGCATGTGTGCTGTCTCTCCAGAGACACCCTAGGATCAAAGGTAGAGGGTCTGGAAATAGTTTGGCCACATTGGCCTGGCCCAAGAGCAGACCCATAAGGAGCTCCTCTGATTTGCTCACCGCTCTCCACACTGGATGGCCAAACATTAGGAAGCCTGAGGGTGATGTGCAGCCAAACATTAAGAGGAACTCCCCTTGACTAATAAAAAATGGGCTGTAGCATAGCGCAAGCAGTGTGCTAGTACACATGGACTCCACAAGGCCACAAAAAAATAGAGATGGCCTTTTGGGCTCAATGAACTGTCTTAAATATTTATTGCACAAGCATGATGCATGGAAAACTCTCCATGCCAAATTCTGATGGTAAAGGAGAGGACTCCTGCATAGGGAGGCTGCCATTAGGACCCCATCATCTCGGAATTGTAGCACGTAATACCATGGTACGATGTATCTTTTTAGATTCTTTTGATGACTGATCAAAACAAATTAACAAATAGATTAAAATTAACTAGTAATAGCCCCTTAAATGAAACACTGTAACATAGCTAAAATAGTCAAAGAAAGCTAAAATTTAAATTCAATTTTGGTCAGAGGGAGGGAAGATAATACACTCCGAAAGACTCCTCAAGACAGCAGAGAAAATACAGGTGACCAGGAATTCCATGACCTATCTTAAATATTGTTGGTATGGGATGGTACATGCAGTATCCTCCAATGTCAAATTTCAGTTGGTAAAGGGGTTAGTCTCCCCAACATTCTGGACAGCAGGATGGAATGCCACAACTGTACATTCTCTTGTGCACAATTTAAATCAAATTAAAGAGTAATAATCCATTAGGGAGGTACTGTAACAAACATAAAATACTCAAAGGAAACAAAAAAATTAAGTTAAAATTTGATTTTGGGCAGAGAAAATGCACCTCAGCCCCTGCAGTATTCATCTGTTATGTCACGCCAAATCCCCAAGAATAAAGAACAGGACTCCCAACACTTCCAGATGGTAGGACAGAATGGAGTGTTGTTTCTTTTTATACTCTTGTGCAAATCAAATAAACTAATTAACTAGGTTACTAAGGAACCACCCCTTGAAGGGAAGTATCTCTTTTTGATCCTTTGAGCAACTGAATCAAATTAACTAATTGACATTTAACAACTTAAAGGGCATTACAACAAAACAACTTTTTTAGAAACAACCTAAATTCACATTAATAAAACATTTTGGGGAGATGATAGCTGCAGCTCCTGCTGTGCCCACTGGTTGCACAAGACCTCAAGTGTGCCAGTGGACAACACATGTAACACGTGTTTCCATCCAAGGATATCCAGGCTTAGAAATAATCACAGAAAAGAAATAGGCAATGGAGTTTAACAACCCCCTCCACAGCCCACTACCTGGACCTATTGATGACAGAAAAAAAGGAAAAGTGGCTGTAATCTACTATACCAAACATATACGTGCAACATGGATTCCTCGAGGCTGCAGAAACTGCAGGCAGCCTGGGAGACTGTGAACCACCTTAGTCGCCTACCAAATGGGACTACTGTGCACAACATCCATATCAAATTTTCGATTCTTTTCTTTTTACTCGTTCATGGGATCTGGATATCAGCTGATCCCTAATTGCTGAGAGGGAAGTCAAGAATCCACCAGTTTGGTCTAGGCCTGGCGTCATAAGTAGGCCAAACTTGGTAAGGATAGTAGATTTCCTTTCTTAAAGGGGATTCGTGAACCAGATAGGTTTCTTTAACGACAATTGATAGTGATTACATGGTCAGCATTAGATTAGTTTTTTACTTTTATTGAATTAAAATTTCAAGATCTGCAGGGTACAGTTCAAAACCACATCCTTAGAACTTTAGACTAGGGTCTGTGACATTACCACAGTGGCACCACCTTCTCTCGAAGAGTATTTAAACATCTAGAGCCACACATCAGTAGCCTTGCTACGCCCAGGTGGTAAGATAGAGCGCCACAGTGTGAAGTTGCTACTCCTCACACGATGCAATTTAAATATTGTGCAGCCTTCTAATATCCATTCAGGCTGATAATTGAATCTGAAGAAAATTGAAACCCGCGGGAAAATCCAGTTGTTATCCATAAAATTGATGAGCCATTGAGAAAGCATCGGCATTTTCACTCAAGGGTACTTCTGATTTGAAGATATGCTGAAACCACATTAAGCTTCTATAAACCAAAGGAAGAGAGGCAATACTTTTATGTTACATTCTTTTTGATTCCTCTTTGCATTCTGGTCATGACCTCTGCAGTGTATGCCATTGTTCTTTAATTGACATTTTCAGTGTCCACAGCTTAATGGGATTAATGGGAATTTTTGATAGGGTTTGGCTGAAAATAGATAAAGAACCTTTAAAGTTAAGTAACAGAGGCCATACTGTGCTGAGTTTAGTGTTATTGTATTATGTACTACATGTTCACTTTTATTTATTGTCCTTTGAGAGTAAACATTTTTAATTTCTTTTTACTTCAGTGGATGGAAATTGTATATCAAAAAATTAAGAAAGTATCAGATGAAAATGTTACAATATCTCTCAAAAGCTGACAATTTTTATACAAAGAAAATATTAAAAGCGGCATTTAACAAGTGGATGAAATGGGTGCAGTTCCAAAAGATGCAACAAAGCTGTGAGTTGAAATCCATTTTTTATGTTAAAGAACTGGAATTAATACTTCTGAATGCATGTGTGCTATATGCTGTTTTAAAGACTAGTTTTTGTATTCAGTTATATTTACTAAAGTAAATCCTTGCTTGAAAAATATGATTGGAAAATAATTTTGTTGGAAGTAAGGTATTGATTCCCAGGAGTGGCATTTTGAGGTTAAGAAAGAGCTAAAGTTTTTATTTCTCCTAAAATTTTACCCTTTCCTTTCTGCTCAGAGAGCTTTGACTTACCTGTTAAATGGGTGCAATTTTTTTTTCCTGTAAAATGCCCTTTATTCATAAAATTTATAAAAATACATTATGAAATATTTTGATCTTAAAATGACAGATTATGCAATAAAATTTGACTTCTCTTCATACATCATCTTTTACTCCCAGGTGTCTCTATTCAAGCGTAATATCCTTAATACTTCAGTGTAAATTCTGAAAGACTGTCAGTGTAGACTTGATGGGCCAATGAACCTCTTCTGTACTGTTTGACTCTATGATTACATGTTAAGCATACAACCTGAAGTCAAAACATTTTAATTTGAAAATTATATGTTTAATAGGAATAAAACTTTCCACCAAGGTGTTTCAATACAATTTAAATAATTTTGATATTAATTCTGTACGTTCCTTGTCAGGCATTTAACCCAAGGGGTTCTACAGTTTCTAGTAACTTAGTTTATTATGCCTGATAAGTCTTATGAAAATTTGGAATTTGAATTTTAACAGAAAAAAAGGGAAAAGCATATTATCTAAATAATGAAAGATTTCCAAACACTGAGATGCAGAGGGATCGGGATGTTCCGGTGCATGAACCATAAAATAGTATTACAGCAACTAATTAAGAAAGGTGCATCAAGTGATTAGAAAAGCTAGTAGAATGTTATTTATTGTGAGGGGAATCGAATACAAGTAGTCCTTGATTTACGGGTGTCCGACTTACGAATGCTTGTATTTCTGAGCATGATCCCATACAGGGGTGTCATTTTAAAAATCTGACATATGTACGTTTTCTCGTGCTTATATGCAGCTGTTTTATATTGTCCTGCATTATGTTCTGACTTGCGTAGAAATTGACTTGTGAATGGACTCACGAATGGAACCCGCTTGCAACCCAGGGACTTCTCGTACTAAAGTAGTGAGACTGTGCTTCAGTTATACAGGGCACCAGTGATGTCACATCTGGAGTATTGATCACTATGGAAGAATCTAGAATTAGGAGTCACTGTTTAAAAATAAGAGGTTGCCCATTTAAAATAAAGATGAGGCAACAAGGTTTCCCTCAGTCTTTGGAACTCTTCTTTAAGAAGTGTGGGAAATGGAAGCTGTAGATATTTTTAATGCAGAAATGGTTAGATTCTTGGTAAGCAAGAGGGTGAAACATTATCAGGGTAGCCAGGACTGTGGATTTGAGTTTAAAATCATATTCCGTCATTATCTTATTGAATGGGTGTGCAGGCTCGAGGGACCAAATGGCGTACACCTGCTCCGTGTTCATGTGTTCATTCGTTTATTTGTATACAGTGACCTTTCCCAATTATGCCTCTGTAGCAGCTGTACAAGCCTTAGTGCATCTGTCAGTATGCAGTCCTGGATTTTGGAATTTAACTGTCTGCAATACTTTGCACTGGAAGACCAGCAAGCTTTATGCACTCTACGGAGTGCCTTTCTCTTAACTGATGGTTTTCCAGGTGGATTGAAGCTTGCCTTGGCTGCTGGAACAACCTTTAGAGCATAGACCCTTGTCATGGAGGTATTCAGGAAGTACCTTAACAAAAATCATACATTTCTCTCCAGACCTTCATTGCAAAACCACATTTCACAAGACAGGTATGCTTCATGGCCAACTCTCCAACCCCCACCACATTTAGAGTTTTGTACATCATGCTTTTGCAAACACAGTTCACTTTTGATCTCTGGAGCTGAACATGGCAAGGAGTGAGGAATTGTCTAGGCTTGCACTGCTTACAGCAACATCAAGAATGCCTCTCATCCGTGACTAGGTTCTTACCTGCAATGGAGAGAGTAATTATTAAATGCCCAGTTTTTGTTTTACCGTACCTACTCACTCCTCACAGTTTTTAGCAGACATGTCATCCCCTCCAAACCATATCTCTAGATTCTTCATGTTGTCAGTCTGACAGTGAAGAGGACAAAGGATTGGTCGCATAGTTCTGAAAGCCCTTGCTTTAATTTGAGGCCAGTTTCAACAAATCACAGTTGCTCATTAGCCTGTGCACCAACAGTGGATTTTATGAGAAGATAGTCTGAAGGACTGGGCACATGGTTCTGTGCAAAATATGAACAAAAGAGGGGAGCGAAAGCTACCATGCAATTTCAGATTTGATCAGAAACTTTTCCAATTCCTACCCATCGATTGAAATTACACTACTCATTTTTCCACGGAACAGTTGTATGCAGCTGCAGATTCCCTCCCAAATCCTGTTTTGGAGAACAAAAAAATCATGTAGGTGTGCAATATTCTGTCAAAGACTTTCTACCAGCCCTGAGGTAGGTGTCCACTCCTCTGTCCCATACATTGGCAATTGTTTTGTTAAGTAGTGTAAGGTTCTCAGAGATCTTCCTGACAGATACAATGCAGGTCATGTTGGTGCGGATCACCAACTCGAGAGCAGACTTGACCTGGTTGACAATGATCTTGGACAAAATTTTGTAATCCACATTCAGAAGTGAGATGGACAGCTAATTGTTAATTTCCTCTCCTGTCCTCTTCTGCTTGTAGATGATTATTGATGCTTAGTTTCCTCATGGAATTCTGACAAACTGCCAGCCAGAAGTATACTGTCATGCAACTCCAGCAGGTTTGGGATGATCCAGAATCAAATACAACTTAACCATTAAGCTGTGGCCTCTGTATTCTTATTACATGCATCTCTAATGTCCTGTTTCATGTTTTCCTTTACATCTTTGCTATGGTTTAGGGGCATTATAAACAATGGTTTTCCTGCCCCTTGGTGTTTCTTTTCTCAAACCATTCAAATTCCTCAACATGATTTTTCCAAGCCAATATCTTTCCTTCATATTGCATTGATTTATCCTTTCTCTTTTTGCCTGTTCTTCCTTAATATTGTATCTTTGACATTGAAGTCATGGTGGACTTGAGTTTTCTCACTTGCTTTTTTTGTGGATACTATTCTTTCAAGGATCATCCATGGAACTTAGTGGTGTTTCACAAATTGTTGCACATGTCACTGAATCCAGTCACTCCAGACTCAGAACCATGTGGCTGATTCTTGACTGCTGTGGCCTAGCAAGCCAGTTAATATGACTAAGCTTATCAAAACTGCTGCAAAGTCTAAAGAAAAGAATGGAACCATTCAGATAACTTGGTATCGACCTAAGGACTGGAAGCAAAAAAGCAAAGCCAGCCTGTTGATTACGCAAAGCTCTCCATATTAACATCTGAAGGCTTGTGTCCAAATTGGGAGCAATGTTCCACAGACTAGTCAAGTAACTGCTTGATATAGTCATACTCACAGAGTCATAACTTACAGATTATAGTAAACGAACAAACAAAACATATAAAATTACAACGTTACATTCTTTTCTCTTTGCATATTGAAGTTCTTTTTGTCCTTTTTGCATCTTTTCCCATAGGAACTTATCGTCAATGTAGCAGTCAACGGTGTTGCTGCTGAATCCCTTTTTTTGGAAATTCTTCCAATATTTTTGCTAAGAAAAAGATCATAATTACTGCCTCGCCAACAGCAAGTGTCCCTGCCACTAATTTACACTTTACTACTTCTTAATCATTTTAGCTGTCCAAGCTAAAGGGCAACATTTATACCCCTGCCTCTCCCACAAGAAAATTACAAACCCTCCTGAACTCGAAAACCCATCACAGAGAATTATCATAACAAGCATCACTAAAAATAAGAATTTTCATGTTCCTGGCACTTTCTAATAACATTTTCCATTTTTAATTTCTTCAACATTTTGTTTGTTCAAATAATGTCTTCCACATTGGGATTTTTCATATTTGTATTCAACACTAATACTTTAAAATAGGGATCTGGCCTGGTTTGGATCCTCAACCAAATCACCTGTCCAATTAGACATTGCAATTCCTCCATTTCAGCTTTGAAGCCTGATATAGCTCCAAGGAGGCAGGTATCCTGTCACCAAGTCACCCTTTATTTACATGTGCAGAGGACAAAGGCTCTGAATAGAACTAGAGAGAGGAGATTTTCTGAATCTCCTGTTTATATCTGTCAGCTAAGGCTCCCTGATTGGCCCAGGTTAACAACCCCAATCAAAGATCTCATAGTCAGTGGATCCACCTCTCCCTGGTTCCAATCACTACAAAGCTACTGCATCTTTTTGTGATTTCCTACTTTGATTCACAACAGTCAGGCTAACACTTTCCAAACAGGAATACTGATGAAAGGTTATACTCGATCCATTCTGCATGAATGTCAATCCAATTTCCTTAAAACTCCCATAAACCCATCTTCCAAATTTGAATTCTGCTTTGAGTCCATTTATGACAATATTTTCAAATTACTTCTTCCACCTCACAAAAAAAATCATAAAATGCCTCAAAGCTGCCCCTTATGATGCCAGTGAAATGTGGCAGGGTCTGGTTTTAAATGAAGAGAACCCAATTTTAGTAAGACAGACCTTACTGAGAAGCACCAAATTCTAAAGGCATTATGTTGCCCTATTCATATTTTTTTAACTTGCAGGATGTTCTCACTGCATTTGGTGTATCTTTAAAAGGAAACACTTCCCACTGAAGCTGATCTTCCTGAAGGACTTCAATTTTAGTATCAATTGATCTCCTCTATCAGGCATATGTTGCTAACCAAGCCAAAAAAAAATTTCTTTCCCACTGTTAGTGAAGCTCTACTAATACCTTGTTTACTGAGTTTTTCTTCAAAACCTCATGCCACTAGCCTCACTTTAGCCATGTAGGACCAGTCAGTAACACCTTTTTGCTGCATATACACCTGTG